GCTCTGCTGTAGTGAAGTCTGTCATCACAAACTTCCACCAGTCCTTCGCTCCCAAGCGAAGCTGGTTCAGCGCAAATCGAACCCTCAGATGCTCTGGACACGAGCAGGTATAGAAACAACCCTCAATATCAGTGATCCATCTTATAGCGGCAATCGGATCCTGCGTCCCATCAAACTCTGGTGGCTTCGTGTTGCTGAACTCTCTGTACAACAACGAGTCACCCCCCTGCGGCCTGGCAGCAGCGACGGCTGCGGTGGCCGTAGCAACAGCGGCATCAGAAAGAGCAGCGTACCGCTCATCAAAAGTCTCAATCAGCGTGGTCTTGATAGACCCGAACATCTCTGGAATCTCAGCGCGGATGGCAGCAGCCACCTCGTCATGAATCATCTGGCGGAGCTACTCATCGCTCACAACCCCCTCGCTAGTCCTTGGCCGGTGGCGTGTCCCAACCATGATGTCTCTCTGAAATAAAACACAAGATATCAGAGACTCGCTCGAGATATTCACACTCGAGAACTCAATCCTACTTGCTCCTTAGTACCCAATGGATTCTTACTTAGGGTGCGCACTGCTCCGGTGTATTCAGTAGTACGGGCCCTATACTACCGTCCACACCGCATCAGCATTCACTCTAAGTCCTCCTCCTTGGATCCCAGATCACAAGTACACAATATCTCACTGGCCTAGGCTACCCTCCGGTAGACCTCTCAACAGCTCCTCACTGGTACCTATTTGCTCTCAAGCATCACATAGCAGCAAAATCATTCCTAGGCTAAGGCATCACAAATCAGGCCACTCTAGTCCTAATATGATTACCTAGCCTACTCTAGCATGCATAACATCTCATAATATCTCATAACACATAGGGTAAGGGTATTTTTGGAAATCACCGTTCGGGCGCTGGCTGATCGTACACACTGCTCTGCTCTGCTCTTTCAAATCACTTTACTCTTTAATAAAAATTTTGTGAATTTTATTTTGAAAATCTCTCAAATCCTCAGTTTAAGTTCAGATACGCCCGCAGGTGCACCCGAATCCCTCAAACCAAGGCTCTGATACCAACTTGTAACACCCAAATTTTTCAAAACCAATTTTTCATTTCAAACATAGTTTCAACCACATAAAGATCACAAAATAGTATTAACTCTGTATCATTACAAAAACATATCCCAGGATCTCATATAAACAAATCCCTTCTGGTGTGTACGAATCATGCCGGCGCCTTCCCGCGATCCTCACTCGTACCTGAAACATATCACACAACAACTGTAAGCATAAAGCTTAGTGAGTTCCCCAATATACCACATGCCACACATACGCCACTCAAGGCTATAATAGGACCCTCCGGTCCGATGTGTCTCAGCGGGACCCTCCAGCCCTGTAGCTCGTTGGACCCTCTGGTCTGGTCATAGCTCGTTGGACCCTCTGGTCCAGTCTGTATCGTTGGACCCTTCGGTCATGTCTATATCATTGGACCCTCCGGTCCGGTCTATACAACACATAGCATACATATAACACAATTCACATAATCTCATACATACACATAGCACACAAGACCCTCTGGTCTACACGTAAATACCACTCTAGGTAATGTATAGTGAGAAGACTCACCTTGGTGTCTCGGTAAATATCTGACTCGGAAGAAGTGTGATCTAGCCTCCGCCTAATCACATAAAGTAATACTCTCATAAATACAACTGTACTCAACCCTAAAAGTCAAGAAGGTCAACGGTCAAACTTTGACCCGACTCGCCGAGTGCACTAGGGTGACTCGGCGAGTCTACACGTGTCCACTGACTCTCTTAGATCCTCTCTTGGCACGTCGAGTACTTCCCTTGACTCGACGAGTTCCAACTGGCATGAATCGCGGGGCCACCTCGACTCAACTCGCCGAGTCTCAAGAACAACTCGGCGAGTTCCAACTTGAACTCAGACCCCTGACTCACTTTGACTCACCGAGCCATTCCCCCAACTCAGCAAGTCCACTCACTGAGTGATTAACGGGCAACCTTCATACTACTCGCCGAGTCTGTACTTTGCACTCGGCGAGTCCATGCCATGCACAAACTCAAAACAACTTCTGAGGTCAGATCTGTTCCATACAATCATAGATCTGGCCTCCCCAAGCATGATAATCACGTAAAGTTCGGACCTTGACACACATATAACATCTAAATGGTCCAAAATGATGATTTAGCCCCAAAAATGACATTCCAAGCTCATGACTCCCACAATTACTCATAAAGCTCAAGGGAGTAAGGTCTCTGGACCTCTATGGATCCAGATCTGAGACCATAACAGGAAAAGGAATCATATGCTCAATAAAACCATCCACCAAAGTGTCTAGAAAACCCTAACTCTATAAGAAATCACCAAAACAGAAGATGGATGGAGATTATACCTCACTAAGCACTCTTGAGCTCAGAATTCCTCCAAAAAGCACTTCCTTCAGCCTCCTCTTGCTCTTGATCACCTTCTCCTTGCTAAACCGAAGGTAGAAAGATCAAATATGGCCTCTCCTTCCTCAAAAACGATTTAGCTCACTTAGGGTTTCTTTCAAGGGACTGGTAGCCGCAATGGGAGGCTATAAGTGCCCTTAAATAGGCTCCAAAACCCGGGAATTAGGGTTTCATTAAACAGCATGGACTCGCCGAGTCCACGTATGGACTCGCCGAGTCCAGTCATTAATCCGGATGAGAAATCGCGACCCTACTCGGCGAGTCTAGGCACCAACTCGTCGAGTCCCTCAACAAATTCCAACATAAAAAAATAATAAAATAATATACCTGGGAATCCGGATGTTACACTATTCCAATCCTTCATACTCGATTGATCATGCCCTATATGATCCATCAAAACACAACCCTCTAATCCTTCATCTTCGATTGATCATGTCGTACATGGTCCATCAAAACACAACCCTAATTCCATCGGGTAACAATCCTCGAGTATTTGACGATGTGGTCGCCTTTAGATTGACTAGTAGGCAAATACAATCACCTTAGTGAACCCCCTGCCAAAGAATATGTCGGAAAAGCAATTCAACGTCATATCGGATGGTTCCTAATGGTTTCTTTAAGTAATATAAAGCATGACTAGTTGGCAACAATTTCAACAAGCCGAAATTGATTGCCACAAAACTTTCAACATGGTTGTTAAATTGGTTACCATATGAACCTTACTTAACCTTTTTGTGTCTAAATAATGGCATATACATCAACTCGTCGTCAAAAAATCAATTTTACACGATCACTTACAAGAAATTGTATGTATGCACCAACCCATAGCGTTTGAGACATCTCATGTTTCTCAAAAATTCTTTATATGGTCTCGAGCAAGCACCAAATGTTTGGTACCAATGTGTTTCGGATTCCATTGGCACCACTAATTTCATATGTAGCATTTGTGATCGCACGCTATTTATTTATAGAAATGACAATGACATGACGTACCTTATACTTTACGATGTCAACATTATTCTCACCACTTCCTCTGTAACACTACAACACTCTCTCATGGAATTGCTAGCCCGAGAATTTCCTATGAAAGGTCTTGTACCACTTACTTTCTTGGAATTTCCATCCAACATCATCAAAATTGTCTTTCTTTTTTCTATGTCAAACAAAGTACGTCGAAGAAATAACTAACAGTTCTGAATATCTACTTGCAAACTGGAAACAAGCCTCATCGACACTCTTCCAAGTTAAACTCTCAAGCCAAATACTCATTTCCCAATCCAATTTACTACCATAGTCTAGTTATCCCTCTACAATATCTCACATTTACAAGACCAAATATAACCTATGTCGTTCAACATATCCGGTTTCATATGAACATTCTCCACACGACTCACATGGATGCACTAAAACATATAATTCACTACATTCAAGGTATGCTCTACCTCGACTTACACCTCATCAAATCTCAATCAACGTATCTTCTCTCATACAGAAGATTGGGGTGGTGTTCGGATACCAAACTTTTGACCTCCGATTATTACTATTTCTTAGTGACAACCTTATTTTGTGGTCCTCCAAAAGACAACCTACTTTATCCTGTTCTAGAGCCGTGATACTCTCATTCTTGATTAGGTTCATGAAGCCTTAAATGCTAAGGAAAAAGATGGAATACATTGTTTCAGGTGGTTCATGAGCCGAGGGTTAGTGGGTTTTTTTTTTGGAAATGAAACTTCCCTAACGAGGATTTCAGGCCAGCTTTTGTACACCGATTAATCCCCCGCTGCAAACATAAGGCTATGCCTCATACTACATCCCCCGCTGCAAACATAAGGCTATGCCTCATACTATAGAAGAGTCACTACAGACGAACCTCCACAACCAAAGGGGCTGGATAGTGCCAGGAAATGTCTAGGATAATGCCAGGAAATGTCTACCAATAATTCTGAAACATAAGGCCAACTTTCGTGCACCGATTAATCCTCCGCTGCAAACATAAGGCTATGCCTCATACTCTGGAGGAGTGACTACATCCCCCGCTGCAAACATAAGGTTATGCCTCATACTCCCATACATACTCTGGAGGAGTCACTACAGACGAACCTCCACAACCAAAGGAGCTGGATAGTGCCAGGAAATGTCTACCAATAATTTTGAATTTGTGATTTAGGTCACTTATCTTTTACTTATACTCAATAGACCAAGAAAACTTTTATTCTATATTTTATTAAATCATGAGTGAATCTGAAACCCTAAAATGATATGCTATAATTTGTGGCATCCACCAAGCACCATGGCATATAACATATGCCAGATTTTGTTCATTTAAGTTGACTAGCCATTTTTTCGAAGCTACGGCCTATGAAGAATCGATATAGCAAGCCACGGTGAACACCACGTAAGTTTAAAATCCACTTTAATGGTCTAACGAAACATTATAATATATATATATATATATATATATATATATATATATATATATATATATATATATATATATATATATAAAAAGTTTAGTAGTATATTTAAGTCCACTTTAATGGTGATAAAACATAATCAATAAACTATAAACCATATATCAATTAACCCAGTTAAGTTTCTTCACAAGAAAGTCAAAGAAATGCCTGAAAGATAAAAGTTACACCACTCACCAATTGAGAAAATGCAACTTCACTCAATCGACTAAAAAACAAATACTCAGACAACTTCTCTTCATCAACGTTCTCCGCGAGTGCATGTGAAGGGGTAAAATCGTCTTTTTACATGCCCCGCCCCAATGAGAATACTAATAGCATTAGTTTTTCTCAAACCAATGCCTCTGAGCTACATAAACTATTTCACTCAGGAAAAATAATGAGCTTCACACCGTTTCATCCGTTTCTGGTGACTCAGTAACAATTTCAGATTGAGTTTCGCCAACCGAGTCAACCAGGACCGACTCGTTATTTTCCTCAACACCCTGAGTAATTACAGATGGAGATTCCACCGAGTCAACCGGGGACACAGGATAACCTGCGGGGAAACCGAAACCGTTTATCGCGATAGGGTAGCCTTCGGGTGAAACCAGGTAACCATGCGGGACCCACGGTTGACTCGGTATGAACTCAGCTGCATGCGGGTTCATGATTCGCGGGTCATGGAATGCGGGTTTAGTCCGTGGGACCCGGGAAAGACGTGGACCGTATGGAACCCGCGCGGTTGCTGACTGATGTGGCAATCTATGTGTCGGGTTGACCGTCAACATAGTGGGGATGATGACAGGTGGCGGTAATATTCCTCCGTGATCTTTTAAAGATGGATTAAATGGAGGTGCAGCTGCAGATAGCTTCTTTGTCATCTCTTTTCCATCATTCGGTGTTTTTCCATCTTTTTCCAATTCCAAAGCTTCCAAACCTTCATTCCCTGGTTTCCCGGAATCGGAATTGGAATTAGATTCCGGAATAACTTCAGTTTCTTCCTTCTTTTCATCAATCATTTTTTCCTTTTCCTTTTCCTGTTCCTGTTCGGAAGCTGGAATGACTTCTTTTTCGGTGTTTTTGGTTTCGGTTTGGGTGGCCGGAGAAGGTTGCTCCGGTGACTTCTCCGCCACCATTACCGCCTTGACGATGGTGCCAGGTGGAGCTAAGGCGACTTCTTTATACGAGAAGAGTTTTCCGGCTTCTTTGACACTGATGGATTGGATAACTGGACTTAAAGGAGTTGATTTTGGGCTGAAGCTTGCGCTTTTAACGAACTTCTTGGCGGCAGTAGGTGGTGGTCCGGCGGAAGTACCGGATTCAACGGTGGTGGTTCTCGGGGATGTGAAATTAGCGGGTTTTGATCGATACTTTGTGTTTAGTTTTGCAAGATTTGGTTTTTTAGAAGTTGAAGATTTACGAGCTGCTTTAGAAATAGCTTCTTGCCATCCTTCATCTGAGTTGTCCACTTCTATAATAGCATCAATCATTTGTTGTTCCTTTTCAATCAAATCAAGTTTTGTATCCTGTTGTTGAGATTTAATCTCTTTATGTGGAACAGGAGGTTTTGGTGATGATACTTCTTCTGTTAATGGAACCTCATTGACCATGGATTCCTCATTTTGTTCTGGCTTTACTTTCAGCTAGAAAATTGTAAAAAAAAAATGAATAAATAATATGATTATCTTCGTAAGACATGGAGGGAAAAAAGTTACCAGTTTTGCACGAGTTTGTTTCTTTTGGGCTTTCATATCTGCATCTGGGGCTATATAATCGAGTAAATCTGATACACTGATTCAAGAATTACAAAAACAAATGAACAAACTCATTTAGACATTAGAATTAGTTCTAGACAGAAGGGTAAAACAGTAATTTATTCTCCACCTCAAATGGCCTTTGCTAGATATAGATGCATCAGGTTTTGGGGTACCATGGCGTGCAGCTTCTTGTTGTTCAAGAGCCTTGGATTCAAAGTATTCAAGCCATGCAGCTGCATCCTACAATATCTTACATGCTAAGTAAAACAAAAACAAACAAAAAAAATGTCTATTTACTTATTTAGTGTTTTTATTGTATGTTTTAAGTTATAAAGTACCTGAGTACGAAGATCTTCAAGTCCAAGTTTAGATTGAAGAATCTGCAGAGTAGTCTGTTCATGCTGAACACTCAAGGAGTATGCTTCCATTAAAGAGAGAGCAATTGCTATAGCATGATAGCTAGCAGCAGTCTGACAAAAAGATGGACATTAGTTAAACATGAGAGAGAGAGAGAGAGAGAGAGAGAGATTACTTGAATGTGATCAGCTCCAAGAAGCCTTTGATTACACTTGAGAGCTTCATGAAGGTATCTAAGGGCAACATGGACATTTCCTAAACCTTCTTCCATCATTGCAACATTGATATAAGTAGCAGCAGTATTCGGATGAGAAGGTCCACATGTTATATGTAAAAGATACAATGCACGATTCACATACCTTTATAAAAAAAAATAGACACACAGTTAGTTAAACATGATCAATCTTATAATTAGGTAGATTCACAATGTATAATGTTGTAATAAAAAAAAATGAAAGTAGAAAGAAATGTACTTTAGAGCTAGCTCTGTGTGTTGGAGTCTATAGTAGAAAACAGCTAAATCACCATAACTTTTCATTGTATCTGGATGATCAAGTCCAAGCTCCCTCTCATTAATATCCAAAGCTTTTTGCTGATAGATAGTAGCCTAAAGCATTCACATAGTTAATATCAATCTTAATTAGATTTGTATATAACTATCTTTTAAAAAAAAGGAAAAAGAAATGAGTTTAAATATATATATGTACCTGATTAAAGTCTCCAGTGTGATAGAGCACTACAGCCAAAAGACTATATGCTCCAGCAGTCATTCGATGATAAGGACCACAGACATATACAAATTTTGCAAGTGCCTACATGAAATTTTGTTCAAATAACATAAAATATTAGAATACAATTACTATAAGTATAAAAAAAAATAGAGATTAATAATTTAATATGTTACCTTAGTTCCATAGTTAACAGCATCCTCCAGTTTTCCTTTATCCAAAGATGTTTTAGATGACTCCAAAAGTGTACGTCCATCAGCAGATGAACATGCAACATGCTGTAACAAAATATTTCACATGTTAAATTCTCCATAGTTAGCAGTAAAAAAAAAAAAAAGTCATATGTTTTATTTTACCTTATATATAGGAACCATGCTGATTATATCTGTTTTCATGAAAGGAGATTCAGAATCCATATCATAGTCTCTAGGAACAAGCTCAAGACCAACCTAATGACAAAAGTAAGAAAATAAAGTAACAAAATTAATATTTCATGAAGAAAAAAATGTTGTAAAAGAGAGATTATTAAACTTACCTTGTGTGAAAGGCCTCGAAGAAGGGAAAACTTACGAAGATTTTCAGTATGAGATTCGGTTTTCCATTGAAATGAAAATCTCTTTGATAAAAAGCATTCAATCCACTTCCATTTGAAGTCATTGTTATTGCCTAACAATATATTTAAGCATGATGCTATTGTCACAGATAAATCTGTAATATTGTCAACTGATGAAATAACTGATTGTAAGATATGTTTGTATGCTCGAACAACCATTTCATGGATACAGAGTGATTGAACATGAGGAAGCTTGTCTGCAAGTTCAACCTAAAACAAATAATTTTATGTCATTGTTATTGACTTATTTCTAACCAACAAAAATAATAATAATAATAATAAAATAAAAAATTACCACTCGCCCTAAGGAGCACATTCGCAAACCCCTTGTGTGCATAAAATCAGTCAGAGTTCTTCCATCAACAGGTGAAAGTTCAAGTGAACCAAAATCAGCCACCTAATGAAATATCAAATGACAAAATTTTTGGTAAAATAAAATAAGAGAATGATAATTGACAATTGATAATTGATAATTGATAATTGATAATTGATACTTTTCTCATAAATTCAATAATGTAAATCAACTAACCAACTTTGGGAGAGCAGTATCTTCATAGTACTTATGTGCCATTTCAATCAACTCATCAGGTGACTACAAAAATAAATGAAATTATCAAATTAGACCAAAACAATAAAGAGATTTTAACTTTCCATCAAGCAAGAACAATCTGTAAATTTTGTATTAGGCAAGGACCATTTTTGTAATTTTTTAAAACATACGGACCGTTTTTGTGAAAAAAAATATTAACATTGACCTTTTCTATAAACTACAGGGACCGTTTTTGCAATTTATTTTCTATGTAGGGTCCAAATGTAACTTTTGTAAATTTGTTATTAGTAAGGGGCATTTATGAATTTTTTTAAACATATGGATATGATGCACCAATCCTGTAAATATAATTCTGCACAGGGACCTATTCAGTAAATTACATGGACCGTTCTTGTAATTTATTTTCTATGTAGGGACCAAACATGTCAAACCTGCAAAAATGACAATATACAAAAGGTAAAAGGATGGAAAATGTCGATGTTTAAATTTGAGGGGGTAAAACTAACATTTTACAAAGTACATGGGTGGAAAGTGGCATTCGACAAAGTAACAGAGTGGGAAGTGTGAACATACGAAAATATAGGGACCAAATCTTCCAACATAAGAAATTTTGTGGCCAAAGTCTGAAATAAGAAAGTTTTGAAGCCAAAGTTTAAGGTCATTCATGGCCAAAGTCTAAAATAACAAACTTTTGTGGCCAAAGTCTAAAACAATAAAACTATACTATTCATAAGCTCTTTTGTTTTAATATACATAATAATTCAACCTTAATAACAAAATGATAAAACCATTATACATTTTTTGTTTTATTGATCAAAAAGAAAACCATTATATTGTTTTGATTGTCAAAAAGAAAACCATTTTTCCTAGTTACCATGTTTCAAAAGGCTAAAATACATAAAAGCACAATGTAGTTTCTCCATTTTACCAATTTACCCTTTTGAATTATTATTATTTTTAAAAAACAGAAAGTAAACCAACCTTAAGGTGGAGACCAGTATCTGATTCTTTAAGGCGCAAATAGGCTTCTTCAGGAAGCAGTTTTCTCCACATTATTTCCTTTTCTTCATCCACCTTTTTCATCTCTTCAATATCATCTGATTTATTGTTTGTTGTAATTTCCTGTTCAATTTTGTTGCTTTTATCATCAGATTTTTTCTTAATTTCCTTCAGTAATCCCTTTCCTAAACCCTTAACAGCTGATTTTGGTTCTACTTTAGCTTCTGAAGTAGTTTTAGAGTCTGATTTTCCAGAAGCTTGGTTTTGTAAATGTTGCATCCAGCATGCTCCAAGCTCCCATCTGATAGATTTTAAGTTTCTAGAATCTTCTTCTTCTTCTTCTTCCTGCATTTTCTTCAGGCTTTCTTCCATTACTTTCTTCACCAAAAGCTTTGCAGAGTGCAAATCTTCAACATCTGCACCTTGAACTCTTTGTATTGGTGTAGATGACTTGTGTAATAGCATTCTCAAACTGAAAAATAATGAAAAAAGAAATTAGCAAAACCAAAAATCAAATCAAACCTAATTTCATTTTTTTTAAAACAAGCATTTTTTGACATACCTATTGACATTCAAAGCATTAGAACCTCCTTCAGGTTTGATCCTCAATTTCAATGTCTTGAGGAATCGATTTTACATCAAATTTTACTTCAGCTTCAACTTTCACAACAGCTGTATATCCACAGTGTCTAACAACCACTATGCCCAAAGTAGAAGTATCCTTCATGAATCATGATAACAATATCATTAATCAGAAAAAAAAAATGGCAAAAAACACTTTCTACAATATATAATTTAAGGGTTAAATGCACTAACATGAACTGTAGTGCTCTCATCTGCTGTTATGCCTTTAAGCAAGTTTCTTTTAGAATCCAACTTTGTGTTTGCATCTGAGAGATCTTTTGTAACCCTAATAACTAAATCTCCAACTTTTTCCTCATGTAAAATTGATTTTGTGTGACTTTTTGAGGAAAAACTGCTACTTTCAGCAAGATTTTTAATGGCAGAAACTGCTTTTAACACTGAAATGTCGACAAATAGGGAGTGAAGTAGAAAAGCTTTCCTATCTCTAACTTGTCTTTCTTCTTGAGTTTTACAAGGCATTGCTGCTAGAATTGAAAACTCTTTTGCCCAATGTTTATCGTCATATTTACCATCTCGCCCTTGTCCACCACCATTCCCTCCCCAATTTTCATCTTCTACAGGAAGTGGTGGAAAAAGTGAGGGATTATCAGCAACAATTGGAGGAACAATCCATGTGTTTGCTCTAAAACCATATGGGAGATTTCCAAACTGAGACAAGAATACAAGATAAAGATATTTTCACAATGGAAAGTTGCTTAAAGTTTTGGTGCCAAAAGTGTAAATTTGACTTACTTTGTTGTGGTCTATGAATGCTTTCATGAGAGCTTTGTATGCCTGCAATTTAAGACATTGAATCAACATTATAACAATGAGAGCTTTGTAGTCTTAGATCTTAATACACCTCTCTATAGTAGCTTAATTTAAGCCATTGAAGCCGAAATATGCAAACAATGAATGAATCATGGTGACACATGTCAAACAAGTAAGATATTACTTACACCATTAAAGATTCGGTTTATTTGCTGCAGTAGACCAACTAAAGAATGAGTCAAAAGAATATGTTTTCCAGCTGGATAGAACCCTTTCTTAGAAGCAACAATTGTCATTGGTTTTCCACTAGAAATTCTTACCTGAAAAGGGAAGTAGATATCAGTGGAACTCAGTTTAGTGGTTCATATAAGCATTATGAGCTTTAACATGTCTAGAGAACATTGGTATCTATATTTAGTAAGAGGAAGTATACAACGAGACGCTCACATCAATTTGGAAGAAATCATCGTTTGTTTTATCTTCAAGGAAGGGTCTAGTAGATCTCCTAATGTCTGCAAAACAAGTATGTTAGATATAAACTCTTTGACTTTCATAACATAAGATCAAGAATAGTTCATCCATCATAAAGGAAAGATATACAGTTTGAGTTCTGAGCCAAATAAGTTACTTACCAGTTTCAGTTCATTATGTAGTGTCATGTTTGAGTTTATGCAAATTTAGGAAATAAAGTGACTATATAAACATTAACATTCGTTCCAGAAATTATATGACTTTTCCATTCTTTTCTTAAACCTTCAGATGTGTTCATCTCTTTTGGTACATTAATGACATAAAGAATTAATTTTAACGTGAAAATGCATTCATTAGACGTTAATAGACTGATCAAATCAATATAAAGCGTCAACAATCAAAATCAAACCAATGCATATCTTTTTATGGAAGAAATGGAGCGGGTAAACAGAGACCAACGAATGTTAAAGAAGAAAGTAACTAGAAATTAGCTTTGATTACATAATAGAAGAGAAATAGGAGAAAATATAGATAATTTTGCAGAAAGGGGAAGAGAAAAACATTTACTATTTAGCTGGAATGAAAATAGGGCGTACATTGGATGGGCGGTGTGAGATGAGAGAACGAGAAAAAGTCATAGAACTGCCCAAGCCTCGGCGGCGGGTAAATCTCCGCCATGGGGTCACGGTCACCCTTGTCAGACTGATCGGAACTGATGGAAACTTCCGTCTCCGGCGATTTAGCCCCACTACTCGACTTCTTATCCTGACTAATCTCTCCATCACTGGAATCTGGTCGGTTAGTTGTCGCTCGACTGGAGGTGGAGGCGGCATTCTTCGGAGTAGACGAACCACCGAAAGCGGTGGTGCAGGCGACGATATCCAGCAATCGTCTGATGTGTGCGATGGCGAGTTCTTCGGTGTAATCCTCTGCAAAGTATTTTTGATGGTATTTCCATTTTAACCCCTTCAAGTTTAAAAGAGTTGACAATTAAGCCCAAAGTAATTTGAGTTAAGTGTTTACCTTCAACGACCGTTAAGTGACATGGTTTTAGAGAGGCTGTTTCAACGGTATCTTTTAGCCTGGGTCCACGCACCTGTTAAAAAATCAGAACTTTATTTATATGAAAAATACAACAATAATAAAAATTTTGTATTTTTTTTCACCTTGTTAAGATAATATTTTGATAAAAAAAAATAATGATATTACTTTAAAGTTACTTCAAATTGTAATTAGGATTAATTTAAATCTAACAAGCATTTAAGACCACCGAATATGTAAGAGCAAACAAATTATCATTTTAAGAACAAAGCATTTTGTGAGGTTCCATATATTATGTAATATGATATAATGTGTGCTCAATCATACTACATAAGGTTGAGTAACACTTTTGAAATTTCCAGCCCGAATCGACATCGTTTATGTTAATATGGATAGTATTCCATACTTTAAAATCACGAAATTCAAGATTCGATATTATCAGTATCAGTTTTATTTTAATACCAAAAATTATTGATAACATAAATAAATTCAATTTGATTTGAGTTTCTATCCATTTCGGTACTCGGGATTCTCGGGTACCGAAATAAATGAAACTATATAAAAAGAATGTAATGTGGACCCATGCAAAACAACTCTATTTTTCAATATTTGAAGCATTTAAAGCTCTTGTTAATTAAAGACAAATAAATATACATGCTAAAGATTAAATCATCAAATATAAAATGACAATATTTTTAAAATGCATATTATAATTGATTTATAACTAGGCGTAAGTTCAAAACCCCGAGCATATTGTTGTCCATTAAAATAATTTATCAAATTAGTTTGATTAAAAACTATTTGAGATAGCTTATCGATAAAAGCTCATAAGATTTTTTCCATTAGTTTTACAAATATAGATTTATACATTAGCTTGTAATTATATATCAAAATGGTTTTTATACCATTTTACATTTGTCATATAGCTATTGGCTGGTTTAACAAAATATTATTACTTTATCAGCTATCAAATTAGTTTATCTAGGAAAAAATTAGTTTTTCAGTTAGCTATCAAACAAAACATTAACTATATCAATTTTTACAAAGGTTTTGTTAAAAAAAAGTTCACAGATGTGATTAAATTGTTAGTCTAACATATAAAATTTTAAAATATATTATTAATATCATATTTAATTGTTATAAATTTTGTTGTTTATAACTATAATAAATTCAACTCTATATAATAAAAAGAAAAAAATGGAATTCTAAAACACTTTTTATTCACAATCTGGAAACGACGAAAACTTTTATAAGTATGAAATGAAACTCTTAAATGGTATCATAAAATAAAACTACCAAACCTTTATTTTGACCATATCCTTAGTTTTTTTGCAAACCATCATAATCAAATTTGTGGTTATCTTTTTTAAATGATTATAGAATACAATCAAAATCGGAAGTACATATAGCAGGAGGTAGCGTCAATGTGGTTGGCTTTGGTTTGAAATGGGTAGAAATGACAAAATTGTTAAATCAGACACAAATTTTGATGCGTCAATGTCGACCATCAAATTTCACTTTTTAGGCCCCAAATCCTAGTTTTCCCTAATTTCGCATAATTTCCTTTTTTTTTATTTTATTTTGTGTTAATGACAAAATATTTGTTTTGGTTATTTTCTAAAATTCTTTCTCTTATTTAAGAGGTTTTTTAATAGAGTTTATTATTGATTTTAGTTTTTCAAATTTGGTCATACCTACCAAATTTAGTATCGTCTTTTATAAAGGATCATTTGTAAGCCTTTATTATTGTTTTTGTTCCACATTAAATTCAATATAAAATAAATAGTCTTAAATATGATAATGATACAAGAAATTAAACGTGTAAGGTCGTAGTTGAAAATTGCAAATCGAAAATGTCTCGTTTATTTATATGCAATATTTTTTATTCTTTAGATAAATTGGTCACATCTGAACAAAGTCATATATACAAGAAAAAAGTTTGGGTTGAATTGATTTGTAACGTGGAAATAACTTAATCACATAGGTCAATATTTCATTTTCAATTTCCGTTTCTCTCTTATACTCTACATGGTCACTCGGCCACTCAATCCCCCCGATGGCTTGAACATCCGCATACTTAACTCTTAATCTTGGACTAATATTATAAAAGCCTAAAATTTTAACGTGTAATTGGAAAAAGCCATAATATTTTATTATTATTGTTCTGGCCAAAACTTTCTCATAGAATTATCACTCTAGTCCACTTAATGAGTTTCATGGTTAACTTTTTTTACAAAATCAATCCTAAAATGTTCAAATTTGGTCTCTGATGTTTGCAAAAAAATTACACCACATGGTTTTTTAACTTTATTTTTTGTTTTTTGTATACTTTATTTATTTTCGGTTTTTTTTATAAATATATATACATTTTTTATTTTCTTTTTTTATATACTATATTTATTTTCATTTTTTAACTTTATTTTTCTACAATTTGACTTTTTTTTTTACCTTTTTACCTTTTGTTTTCTATTTTAGTTATTTATGGTTTTTCTAATATTTTTATTTATTTTGATTCAAGTAAACGAACTTGAATTTAATATAAATTACTATAACAAGTTTTTTTATGGAGATCGACTATTATTATTTTTTTTGTTTTTTCTTTTAGTCTATTATCAAATTGAAAAATATTATCTTGAATTTAAACTATTTATATCACATATAAAAATGTGATTTAATTTGCAAGTTATATAACACATTGAAACACTAATTCTCAATAAACAAGCTAATGTTTTTTTAATTTTTATATTTTCGTAACATAAATATAATAGCACTAAAGAAAAAAATAAAAAGAAAATAAGTTGGACCGAAATCACAAATATAAACGTAGCTATTTTATTTACTTGAATAAAAATAAAAAAATTATAAAAACTATAAATTATCAAAATTATAATATATTCTAATATATTAACACATTTTATATTTTTTGAAAAATGTCAATAAAAAAGTTAAAAAATAAAAAAATAAAAACAAATAATTGTAAAACAAATAAGAAAAAAATTAAAATAAATAAAAGATGAAAAAAAAAATATAATACAAAAATAAATATGAAAAAAAAAATAAAAAAAAAATTCTAATATACTCTATATATTCACTAAAAAATAGAAACAAAAGGTAAAAAGGTAAAAATAAATAAATAAATAAATAAATATAAAATAAATAATAAAATCAAAAATCAAACTGTTGAAAAATAAATGAAAACAAATGAAAATAAATAAAGTACGTATATAAAAAAAAGAAAATAAAATATGTATATATATTTATAAAAATAACCGAAAATAAATAAAGTATACAAAAAACAAAAAATAAAGTTAAAAAACCATGTGGTGTAATTTTTTGCAAACCTTAGGGACCAAATTTGAACCTTTTATGATTGATTTTGCAAAAAAGTTAACCAAGTTAACCATGAAACTCGTTAAGTGGGCTAGAATGATAATTCTGCGAGAAAGTTATGGTCATAGCAATAAAAATATATATTAGGGGTTTTTTTTAAATTAGGCGTTATAAATCTAGGGCTTTTTTAATATTAGTCCTAATTTTTTTTACTTTATCATCTAAACTTACTATGAATTTCGTCACTCTACCCCCATTCCTATCATTTCTGGTTTTTCAATTTTGTTTTCCAAACTCTTACTCTTTCAATGTGTCTAATGTTTTCGACCAAATATGAAATAATATATTTACAATGTCTAAAATCTAACTCGCTACCTGACACAAACTCGACATGAAAAAATAAATGAGTTGTCACGATATATGGGAACCACCAAAATCATTGGAAAAACTATGACAATATCTTTTTAATTAACAAGTTTTATGAAGGAAAAAATTGCTTTGAATGGAAAGAAAAAGAGTCATCTAATGGTTTTTTAATGAACTTTTTTAGGTGAAAATCTCTCAGAAAAAACTTAAATGGTGGATGTTCTAAGATTACCATTTTGATAATAGAATTTTATTATTTAATGTTAATGAAAATTTGATATAGCAAAATAAAAAAGTTTCAAGAGTGGTTAATATTAAGAATGCTCTTATAGACAAGGGTGTACGAAAAAAAAATTAGAGTGGTTAATATTAAGGATGCTTTTATAGACAAGAGTGTACGAAAAAATAAAAATTGAACCAATAAAAAAGTTTAAAGAGCGGTTAATATTAAGGATGCTCTTATAGACAGGGGTGTACGAAAAAGTAAAAATTGGGGCACTTAATATTAAGGATGCTCTTATAGACAGGGGTGTATGAAAAAATAAAAATTGAACCAATAACCGGAGCGGTTAATATTAAGGACGCTCTTATATGTCTACGAAAAAATAAAAATTAAACCAATAAACGAATAAACATAACTTAAAAATTGAACTGTTTTGAAAAACTAAAAGCTTGACTTTTTGTTTTTTGTTTTTAGAAAAACTAATTCTTTTCCTAATTCGATTTGGTTATTATATGTATAAAAAATGAGGGGGAAAACTAGCCATGAATAATCCAAAATAACGATATATATAAGCTTAATTGATCGAGTATATTAACAACTAAAATAATTGACATGATCTTTATTGAAAGGTAAATAATAAATATATTTGTTTACACGTTCTTGTATTTATCTTGGTAGATTATTATAGTCAAGGGCATGTTTTTTTTTTCCAAAATCAGTCATCCAAACGGCAAATCAGGCAAATATGATTGCGGTTTTGTTGAATGGGTCGTGGAATCGTGGCATTTTTACAGTGTCATGGCACATTAGCTCATTATATTTAAATCCTAAAGAATTTGACCTCATTTAACATTAAAATTTTACTAAAATTCTCTATGATGACAGAAGACCGAGGTTCCAATTAATAATGCTGTAAGTAATCTTGTATATAACTTTCTTGTTTGTTTTTATCATGTAGGTTGAAATGTAGTAGTATTTTATATAATTCTTTATCCGGATTTCAAAAAAAAAAACGAAACCGCAAATAGTATGACCATGCGCAAAATGTACATTAATGACTTGTACCTTCGCGAGTGGTCATGTCATCTGTGATTTAGTTCATCTTTTGTTATGTGCGGTTTCGTCCATATATGGTATCCTATAATCATGTAGTAGTATTTTGTATGAATTCGTAGTCTAAATATAATATTACAAAAAATATATATATTGAAATAGCAAGTGAAATGAGACGAAAATGCAGATGGCTTATGCCGTCTGCGCTTTGGTGTTTGGACGAAATGAAACCGGATTTTTTTATATATATTCTAATAAATAAAGGTTTTTTTTGTCACATGTCACACTCTCATCCAATTTGTCAAATGTCATTTTGTGGTTATTTTGAATTAATTTTTTCCACATGTCATTTTATGCGTTTTTCTATTTTATTAAATTCAATATAGTATTTTAATATAATAATTGCAACAAATATAATAATAAATGAATATCAATTTTATTAATGAACTTACTTTTTAATTTTAAAATTCTCAAATTAAAACTCATTAGTTTTTCTGTTTATTTATTTAAATTATTTGTTTAAATTTAAAAGATAAAAAAAACATTTTAATTATAATAATTCATTATTTTTTTTCTTATAAATTCAAAATTCTTAAATATTTTGACTTTTATATTTAACTTTTTTTAAAAATTAATTCATGTAATATATGGGTCTCACAACTAGTAGCAAATATGAAACCGAAGATGCTCGATAATTCTACAGATGGCTCTCGATGATACTGAAAGTGTGTTTGACTGTTATGTGGTTTCGATGGCTAGTCTTGAGAAAAACTTAATATTTGACTATTTTACAGAATATAATTAAGAAAAATGGTTTAGAAGTGTCATTTTCTCTTGTTATTTTTGTTAAGCTTTATAACCAATCTCTATTCGAACCCCCTTTACTTGTAGGAGTACATCTTGGATTTGTCAATTATGTTATGGCCGAAGTCCAACTCATGGCGACCTGGTCGAATTGGGAGAAGTCGTAGGTATTATTGCAGGTCATTCTATTGGAGAACCGGACACTCAATTAACATTAAGAACTTTTCATACCGGCGGAGTATTTACAGGGGGTACTGAAGAACATGTGCGAGCCCCTTCTAATGGAAAAATAAAATTCAACGAGGATTTGGTTCATCCGACACGTACACGTCATGTACATCCTGCTTTTCTATGTTCTAGAGACTTGTATGTAACTATTGAGAGTGAAGATATTATACACAATGTGTGTATTCCGCCCAAAACATGATTAATAAATAAACCCAAAAAACAAAAATAAAAACCAAAAGTCCAACCATAAAAACAAAAAACTAATCGTAGGCTGAAAAAACCAAAACTTAATCTCAACTTAAAAATAACCAGCAAGCTTAGTTTTTTTCTAAAATAAAAGGCCGAACCTTTTGATTTAGTTTTAATTTAGTCAAAATTGATCCCCTAATTAAAGATGCTTTAGATCAAACATTACTTAATTTATGCGCCGCTCAAAAAATTAAAAAAAAAAAAAAAAACAAAAAAAAAAAACTTAATTTATGAAAATATTAAGTAAGAAAACCTAATTATATGTCAAAAAGGATGTGTAATTGGGGGCGAAAATTAAGTGCTAATTTATGGTACCTCATGTGACAAGGAGTAACTGGTCAAGTGGCATGCCTCCACGTGGATAGCTAAAAGCTTCCTAACATCTAAGATCTTGTCCGTAGATATTCCCTGTTGTCAATCGAAGAGATGAGAAAAATAACGTCAACCCAACAAAACATTTCCTACACCCATCCACACCAGATAATTTCACTATAATGTTTACCTTTAGCGTCACTTGGGATTCTTCCGGCGTCTCTATACCTATTTCTATAACCGTTGGTAATACTATTCAAATGGAAATAAATATACAAATATTAGAAAATAGTATACACATCAAAAAAAAAAATGATAAGGGCTCAAGTCAATCCGTTTTAAAATCCATATAAAAAATTAATCGTGAAACATTAACAATGTTTTGTTAAATGTTGTTAAGAATACAGTTTAACAAGATTTAACGAAATAAACTTTTGCTTGCACATGAGATTATTAGATGTGCAAGAATGTTAATTATCAAGAATTATATAAAAATCACATAACCTAAATGCATAATAATAAAGGCAATATTAACCATGCGTCTTTTACCTTGTATGGTAATCTTTAGTTCACGTAAATATAATGTAGGCATGTTTTATGGCGGCTAACACACTATTTAAACTAACATTTTCATGATGCACATTATTTAAATTAAAAAAAAAGTATGTTTCACCATGGGCAAGTTCGTCAACTGGCACCACAGAATGTAAATCACAATGTCCAAGCACAGTAAAAATGATAGTTATGCTTGAATATGATGTATTTTTTATGGATTCTAGAACACTCATATCTAGACATATTCTAAAATTATATATATATATATATATATATATATATATATATTAGATATTATATATATATATATATATATATAATATATATATATATATATATATATATATATATATTGAGAAAAGAATATTATAACCAAATAGCCAATATATGCAATAAGTATAAAAATTCATATAGAAAATTAAAACGCGCCTCTAGGATTATATGAAAAATGTATTACCTAGAATGTCATTTATTTTATCTATCGATTAAATTAATTATAATATATACCACGACATCGTGGACTTGTGGTTACTTAAAGCATCAATGCATAATATAATGCAGTGGTTAAAAGATGGTTAAATGCATACATTCAATTAATTAAACTCTAACATGTTATATCAACGTTCAATGAATACAAATTTCAATTGTCTGATAACTATTGAATGAGTAAAAAGATTTTTCTTTTAATATTTAATGATTAACAAATGAATGATTTTTTTTGAAAAAAATGTTACATTAAACTTTTGTAAAGTTTAGTGCATTGTAGAAAAAAGAAATAATAAAGTTATATGAAAAATGAATTGTAGAAAAAAGAAATAATTAAGTTATATGAAAAATGAAATGGTTATATGACAATTAATTAACTACACAAGTTCAATATATAGTGGATGTTATTAGATTAATATCATCTAATTGAGAAAGATCATATTCGTTGCACTAATTTGAAAATTGAAATGCATATGTATGCTTTTTAGCCACATTAAAATGCTATAATTATGAGATTCATGATCGATGGTAATTTTTCAGAAAACTACACTCTAATTCCAATCTATGGCTATCAAACAACAATCATCAGCCATTGTTCTTTCCTTCATGAACTAACGTCATTTACTTCTGAAAAAAATTCTTTGAATGCATTTCATTTTCAAACTTATCCTAACATAAATTTCAAGAAACAAACACTAAAAAAGCTTCACACACAAAGAAAAAGAGACTACCCATCGTACCTTTCTCTTCCTTCTTCTTCTTCTCGCCCTTAGCCTTATGAGGTTTTCCTTTGGCAGCTTTCGGAGCCATGTTAATAACCAAATCAAGTTCACACAACGAGCAGAATTCGGATTAAATTCGTTAAACATTCATAAAATCCATCACCCACATCCCTAAAATCAGTATAATTCAATCTAAGCAACTTTCAGCAATCGAGAAACCAAAATTCAATGAATAGAATGAGAATATGGAACTGAGATTTCAGATGGAGGAAAGCGATACTTGAGATAATAATTAAGAAGAGAGTGAAGTAGGTTGAGTAAATGCAATAGTACGAGGTGTATGTGGGATTGGTATTTGGTGGGAGAGATTTGCCGATGAGGAAATGAAATTAGGATTTAGGAGATGGCGGAGGTAGGATAGGATAAGGTAAAGCGGTTTTATACTGGTTCGCTCCTTTTAGAAGATGCAGTACAGGGCTCATTTACAAGTTACAAGTGAAGATGGCTGGCGATTTTAGGCCTCTAGTTTTAGTCTCATTTGTTGATGATAAATTAACATATAATTTAGTATATAATTTGATTAAGTGTAAGTTACCGTTTTGGTCTATGTTGTATATATTTTCTTCCGGTTTGGTCATAATTTTGAAAATTTGTCATCATTATCCTCTTGATTGGTAATCTATCAGTTTTGGTCCCTACTTCAGTTACCACCAATGTCCTCCTCTTAAATACTTATTAAATGACAAAAATGCCAATGCTTTATGATTATTATTATTATTATTATACAAATAAATGGCCTCACTCTTGATCATTTTCCACTATATACCACCACCACTTTTATCATTTTCACCACTATCGTATACCACCACCACCAACATCACCGCCATGTCATTTTCACAACCTACAACTCAAAATTAGATCTAGCTACAATGTAAAACTGGAATTGATCAAACCTGGAAACCAAAACCCTATATACACTCATTTTATAGAGGTACATTCAAGCAAAATCACTTGTTTATAAACTGAAATCCATAAATCAGAGTTATAACGAAAGTATCGTGGAATATCGAATCATAAAACTGCTAATGTGTGTGTACAATCACGTCTTCGGAATCCCATGAACCGATAAAGTGCATGAAAACATTTAATCCACAATTATAGGTCAAAGCTTAGCGAGTTCCTCAAAATATCACACATATAACACATGTGACATCCCCAATTTTCACGATCCGAAAAGACATTTTATTTATGCTTATTTAAACAAAGTATTCTTTATAAGTGAAGAATTTATCCCATAAAAAGTACTACCTCGTCCCATATATATGGTCAACTTTTGACTTTTGAAGTCATTATTCTTCAACTTTGACCTTAAATATTTTTATTTGTGTTATAAATTACTTGATGAAACTTATAACAATGAAAAGACGTTGAAAACACAATCCATTGATATATTTTGCACCTAGTATTATATATCAAAAATAAAAATATTTAAGGTCAAAGTTTAAGAATAAAGACTTCAAAAATCAAAAGTAGACAATAAATATGGGAAAGAGGGAGTATTTCCAAAGAAATATTTTAATTGATTATTAAAACTTTGGATGTCATAACTGATACAAAGCATAAGCATAAACATAGTCATTACAGGCCTTACAATAACTTATTGTACTAATAGCCTAAATCATCGAATCTGTTATTGGATTGTACATTTGTACACTTACCTGTAATACAAAGAAACTGAGTAGGTTAGGTTTGGGAGTTTGGTGAGCACATAGGGTTTTCAACCTACAATACTATAATTATATATTTTTCACAATAAGAAAATAACCCGATTACCCATTCCCTTTATTCTCATTCTCTAATCCTATGATGATGATCTCTTTGGACCTATCCTAAAGGATTTCTTTGAAAAGTACTCGAATGAACAACTTTCTTTTTCCCTGAAAAGTATGATCATTAACACTTACAGGTGGCGAACCTGCTAGTGTTCCACCGGACTATCTAGGATAGTCAGCGGTCGTCATTTATACTTTGTTAGATGACTGGTCCTGATAATACTGATAGTACAATGCATAGCCTCCCACCATTATTTTATTTCCCCAAAACCCTTCACTACCCCATGAAAATGTAAATAAGATAAAGTAATTTATACAGTATAGTTATATCGTATTATTGCATATAACACATATATTGTCACACCCTCAACCGTCGACGGAAGTGTCGAGGTGTGTGACGTAAATCAGTGATCATAGTTATTAAACATACATTGAACAGTACAAAATATAATCTTATATTATTACCAAAATAGAAATTACATTGATAGTGACTATTGCTAAACTGCGACACACGCCTAACAATTTGGCGTTTACAAAGATATACTACAATAACAGAAATGATTCTATGAACTCTTCCGATCTGCTAATAAATCTAAGAATACATGCATTAAGATACGTCAACAAAAACTGTTGGTGAGTTCTACAGGTTTTGACACAAAGTGGTTTTTATAACCAAAAGTGTTTTATAAGATTTATCTGGTTGAATAGCTTTTACAAATACATACTTTTCAATCAAAAGTATAAAATAAATGAGTTATAAAGGTACATTTGGACTCATTTTAAAAATATCTTTTGTTTAAATCCAAAAGTACAATAATTGAAAAAATACATATAAGTAAGTCAGACTTATATCAAATTCTACGGTTCTCATGACCAAAATGTAATTTTATATATGGATTTTGAAGACCAACTAATGTAAAAATAAGACGCATCACCCTTTGTGAAAACATAAAACAACCAACTTTACTTTTGAAATTTCGTACAAACAATTTTATAGTTTATATGTAAAACTCATAGATCTTAAGTTTATAAAAACTTATAAGGTTGTGTCATATTGTTTATTAAATGGTATCTTACTTAATTAGGGAACCGACACCTAAACAATGGAGAAAACCCCTCTCACATAAATATAGTGTTTTCGTACAAAAACAAAGGGTTTATATAAATAACTTATTATGTGTAAGTTAATAAACCCGTCCGATTGTGTCATGATATTAATTAAGTGTTATATGACTTAATTTCTGGTATTGATACATTTCATTTTGAGTCACAAACTATCCCACTACATACAGTCTCTTTCAACTAGTATAGGTGAATAAAAACTCGGTTAAACCCAATATCGATTCTATATGGTGACAAAACAAATATGGGATCTATAACGAACTCATAACCGAACTGCGACACCTCTGCACCAGCACTAAAAAGGGGCATTCTAAAAGTTCCACATCACTAACATTGACGTGCTAAAAGTTCCACAATAATGATTTATTAAAGTTGTGGAGTAAATAGTCTAGAAACGTCAATGCCAAACTCACCTCGTCAGGCGATGATTGTAGCTAGCAACATGTGGGTGGGATGTCAACCCATATAGATTAGTGTCGTCGATTTATACCTGACTTTTCGCGTTCCATACGGATTAACAGTTATAACGCAGAGGACAATGACTATGACATACAGTCTTAGTGTGGTTACAAACATAGCCCATGCAGCTTAGGAAATGATCATAACTCATAAAGCTTTTATAAAACAAACATAACTCATATAGAACGTCTCGTGGGTATTGGACCCTAATAGTATGTCTAGACATCCTAATCCTAAGCTTCTCGTTATAAGATTTTTGGAATACTTATAATTTGGTTGTTTAGGGATAATCTTCGATTGGAGTTTTTTAGTATTTGAGATTCCTAAGACTTAAAGGATACTAATTTCTATTGTCTATTATGACGGCATAATGGTTGTTTTTGTAACATTTTCTAGTTTTCAACCAACATAAAACTAACAATTCCTATAATATTCAATTAGTTGCATAATTGATACACTATATAATTTCTTAGAATATGATTCTTAAAATCTGGAAATCAATTATGGTATCATAAGACAAATTGCATTATTTAATAAAAATGATTTATATTTTTATAATAAATATAAAAATAAAATATATCGTTTATTGAAATCATTTTTACATAATTTCATAATTAATAGTTGCTTTTTGGTATTTTTCAAAAAAAATATTATGTAATTGTTCAAACATCATTTTCAACCAATTTAGACAATGTACTTTCTTTTTGTACGTAATTAAGTTGAATAACATTTATTATTATTATTATTATTATTATTATTATTATTATTATTATTATATAATATATATATATATATATATATATATATCTTTTTATATATATATTTTTTAACATGCTCAAAATTATATATGACAAATACCATAATCTCTATAAATCGTTAAATATATTTGTATCGTTCTAGCATTCTAGTTATAAGTTATAGGATGTATCAATGATTTATAATATTTTAGACTGTCATTTTATAAACTTTTGACCAATAACAAGTGTGATTCTATTTTGTATATAAAAACTAGAAAATCATCAAAACTTTATTAAACATGCATGTATTCTCCCCTAAATATGAAAATTGTGAAAAGGGGCCATGGGAACTCCCATTCGATGCATGATCTCGATCTAGGTTCGTTTTGTTGAAGCTTTACGCAAGAAACCACAATTTACACTTTCTTGAACTTTGAAATACTTTCGGGACAATTTTGATCAAACAAGGCAACTAGAAGGATTGTTTTACATTCTGAAACAAAAGATGGGTTGTTTTTGTTATTATTTAACCAAAAGGGACTAGTTTTGTAATAAGTTAAATTAAAAAAGCTATTTTGGTCTTTTAAAACAAAGGATGGGGCCGATTTAATTTAAAAATACAAATGGAGGGGCTGGTTTTGCCAAATGATACAAACAATGGGGACATTTGTCCTCTTCTGATCGGAGAAGAAGAAGACGAACGAAAATAGGCAGAAAATGGTCTTGCAAACATAAACCAGGGGGAAGAATCTTCGATCCTTGACTGATCGAAGGAAAGAAAGGAAACACGAATGGAAGGCAGCGACATGGGAGCTCCGGTGGTCAAGCAGATCGCGAGGAGGGAGAAGGACCAACAACCATAATCTTCGACGAGCCTTTTCCTTCGTTCATTTGCTTCGTTGCCGATAACAACACACGAATGGGAGGATGAGCAAAACAACAGCGACAAACTTTGGGGAGGGGTGATTTGGCAGCTCTGATTGATGGGCAAGAACGATGGGGAGAGAGAGAGAGAGGGATTCGACCTTCTAACGACAATTTATGAATGAAAGGAGGTGGAGGCGGTCACCGTAGTTTGCGGTGGTGAGGGAGGCTACTTCGGAAACTTCCTTTTTGTTTCTTCTTTCTAATCTGGTAGTACACACACAGAAGAAAAAGCAGCAGGGGTGTTTGTGAGTGGAGTATCATGACATGAGAGGATGGAGGGGCTACTGGCTGCTTTCCGGTTTCCTTTTCTTCATTGGGGGAGTAAGAAACGAGAGGGAGAGTGATATACGAGAGCTAGAGAGAAATATGTGTGAGGGAATCTTTTTGAGTGTACAATTGATCTAGAATCGTATATGATCTAATCTCCTAAGATTTGAGTAGATTTTAACATGATT